TGGATTGGAGCCAAAATAGTCAAGTCTGGGAGTAAAATGCAGAATCCTAATGCATTAACTCAGCCTTCCTTATTTAAACAAATAGAATGCCTGTCTGAAAATGTTATCTAATTTTTCATCTCCAAGATCTCCACAAATATTATGATTTTGTGTTCTTACCAAAGAGGGTATTCCTGGTCTCTTCCCTTTCCCACACTTCCTTGATTCCTCTGGAGACAAGAAGGGGAAACTATACTAAAGCCAGAAGTACCCTAAGAGACTTCAGTTTAAGAGGTTCCTAGACCCATCATCACACTATTCACTACATCATGAAAAAGATCAGGCTAATAATGCACCTACCAATTAGAAAGATAGCGTCTGAAGATGATTTTCCATATTGCTGTTCCACATATTTAGGCATGAAGGAGACCATATTAACAAATGCATTGAACTGTAGCACACTTGTAAGTATGAAAAGCACGTACACTGGATTGAAGAAAAGACTTTTCATAAATGGTAAAAAATCTGAAATAGAAGAATAATCACAGTGTAAATAAATTGGACTTCGTATTTTGTGATTGGCTTTTTCTGAAACATCAATCTTCCCCCTCCCCACAAAAAAATTATGTTCTTCAGTTTTGTAACATACATTTGTTTGTTAATTATTTTTACCCCTTGACAGCTAAAGTTATACGGTTGTTTTGGTAGCTTCTGCAAGTCAGTGATGCAGTTGATTAAGTAAGGATCAGAACACAATAGTTTTGTCTTCATTAAGTTACTATTTCGTCTTAAGGCAAAATTATTAAAAGGCCAAAATACTGTCTGTGTCCACACCATTTCCTTTTCATCTTTCTCTCTTCCCTTCTATTAGTAACCTGGCTTCTTTAGAGAGCACCTAGAAGGAGAACATATCCCATGCTGCCCTATAAAGTTTGGAAGAAATCAATTTGAAAAACAAATTCACACTCAAATATTGATATTGAGTCCTTGAACATTTAAAATGATGATATACGTAAGAATCAATTTTTCTCAAGTGCCAGAAATTTTTCTGCTTCTTCAGAACAACAGTTTTCTTGTATCTGCTAAAAGTTCTCAACTGGATGTATATTCGAAGCACTTGGAGACGTTTTAAAAAATAGCGATGCCCAGGTCTTGCCCCTAGAGATATGGATTCAATTGGTACATATTAAGGACAATGTGAGTGTTTCAACCTACAATTTTCATTCAGGGTGTGGACTAAAAGCAAGCTCAGAAGCAAATTTGTGGCAGATCTCGAGTTAGTGTGCAAAGCCACACTGCCACCATTATGGGTCAAAT